TATATATATATATATATATATATATATATATATATATATATATATATATATATATGTGTGTGTGTGTATGTATAGCTGTGTTTTAAGCAAAGTATTTCTGAATGTGCCTAATTTTTTCTGATCGATTTAATCATCAGAATAATTGATTATTAAAGTAATTGCTCAAACATTTAACTTTTAATCTATTGACTGTTGTACATCTATGTACATTGACTGTTCACCCTTTGGATCCCAAAGGCTTTCTTTGAATTAAGTAGAATAAAGGTACTGAGGTTGTTCCAGCTTGCTGATTCCCAGATGTTCTCAAACTGACCTCACAGCCCCTAAACTGCTTCTCTGCATTTCCAGGAAGTCCGTGTGATGGTGATGGAGGCTCTGAAGGTGTTTTCTCAGGATCGAACCGGCCTGGCCGACTACGCTCTGGAGTCCGGAGGTCGGGAATGGACTCTCGTTTACCGTTTTGTTCTCACCGTTCAGTTTGTCTGTACAGATTTTGCTTCTTTTTGTTTCGTTTCCTACAAACCCAGAGCTGAATCCACACATTGGATTCTTTACAAGTCGCCTGACATGCGTGTGCTCATCCTGCAGGGGGCAGCATCCTCAGCACTCGCTGCTCGGAGACCTACCAGACGAAGGCCGCCCTGCTGAGCTTATTTGGATTTCCTCTCTGGTATTTCTCCCAGTCTCCTCGAACCGTGATCCAGGTAACGCTCCTGTTGAACCAACACACTGCAAAAGATGGAGGTCGATTTCTAAGAGGGAAACACCAGAGTGATCAATTTCAGACTTAATTCAGTTTTTCACAAAATAATCCCACCTTCTTCCCCCTTCAGCCTGACGTCCATCCTGGGAACTGCTGGGCCTTCAGAGGATCTAAAGGCTTCCTTGTGATCCAGCTGTCCATGAAAATCCTTCCCACAGCCGTCACCATGGAGCACGTCTCCAAATCCCTGGCCCCCAGCGGGACGCTGCGCAGCGCTCCACGAGACTTCAGCGTCTACGTATGAGAGCACCGAGACTGCAAACCTCTCTGAAGAGCTGCATTTGGTCTGAGCTTCATTGTTTTTTTTGTTTTTTTGTTTGTTTTTATTTCAGGGTCTGAAAGATGAGCATGAGGACAGAGGGAAACTGCTGGGAAATTACACGTACGACGAAGACGGAGAGGATCTGCAGATGTTCACCATCTCAGTAAGTCGTTTTTCCTCAGATCTTTAGAAACTAGATTGGAGCTGAGCTGCAGGGTTTCTTTTTAGAGAAATCTCTCCTCTTTTTCATCTTTTCATTTTTCAACCTGAATGATTCAGAAGCAAATTAAAACTCTTTGTAATGTAAGAAAAATGAGAGACAGGACAATGTAGATCAAACACAACAGATGCTGTCATAACAATATGTAACAATAACATGACAGTTGCATGTTTTCCTTTTATATTGTGAATCTCTAACAGAAACGAATCAGACAGAAAGCTTCAAAGAAAAAATGAAAGATTTATTTCACTACAAGTTTGTTTTTCTTCATCAGTAACTGTCATCACTTAAAAAGCATTTACACTCCCTAAAGAGCAAAAGCACACCAGAATACTAACTAAAGCTGTTAGTAAATTGCATATTATTCAGTATATAAGTTAAACTGTCAGAATTTTATGTAGGCATTTTGCTTAAATCATATTTGTCTTTCAAAAGTTGCTAAATGTAAGTGGAGTTTACTTGAATATTTGTTTTCTATCACTTTTTCTGAGAATATCTTTCAGCTTGCAAAACCCACCAATGACTGACAGACCTTCAGAAAGTCTTGCGAACATTAAAATATTTCCAAAAAAAAGTTTTAGATCACAGGATGGAAACCAGGAGAAACATGGCGGCTTTTAACTGCTCCGATTCATTTCCCTGGTCTTTTCCAGGAGGAGAATGACGAAGCCTTCCAGATCATCGAGGTGCAGGTTCTCTCTAACTGGGGCCACCCGGAGTACACGTGCATGTACCGCTTCAGAGTGCACGGGTTGCCGAGCGACGTCTGAGTCGACAAGGCGCAGAAGCTCTGCTCGCTTTTTAACCATCTGCGCAGCGGCTGGCTCTTACGTTTCCCGTGGAAACGCTCTCTGTCCGGCGATCCAATGAATCTGTTCATAGTTTCTCTATCTCCAGGTTGTGCTTCCAGGCCGTTGCTGCTGGTTTTCAACGTGTTTTATGCATTTATCAGGTGTGATGTCATTCAGCTGTTGCGTCAGAGTAAAACCTTCTCTCTGCATCACGGAGCGGATAAACGGGCCAACGGATCGGTCTGACGAGGAGGGAAGGCTTTAGTTTAGAGCAGAAACTGAAACAATGTCCCACTTCAGCACATAACGCAGTATAAAAAAGCTTTTTACGTTTGAAAACCGTAAAAATGTGAAACCTGAAAACTTGAAGGGAAAGAAAAAGTAAAAACTATTTCCAACAGCAGCTGTCTGTCTCCAGTTTGTAAGTTTATTTCTCATATGCACTGGAACTTTTTTTATGTATACATTTGATCTATGTAAATATTTTTGTACAAGACTTTAAATTGAATTGCTAAATAATAAAGATCTGACATTTTAAAAGCTTTCTCTTGTTGCATTAATGTATGATGTGTCAGCAGATCAGGACATCACAGCAGAGGTCAGCATGAAGAAACGCCCGAATATTCTCCTCCAAAATAATCATAAAAGAAGAAGCATCTCTTTCCTGCTGGCTCTACCCCACTGACAGAACGGGAACATTTTAAACCTGGTTCTGGTTCTTCTGTAACATTAATGTTTAAAACTCCTCCGACTCATGGCCCGTTTTTGAGAAATATAGCTGAATAACATGCCCAAAATGAATTGAATGCATCTCAAGAACTACAGAGTTTATTTTAATTGTTTTGGTATCAAAACAAAGGCAAGACACTAGAGAATATGTTACAGCTCTAAAAACCACCTTGCCTGTTACGGAGGAAAATAAATTAATATGATACACAGCAGAAATCAATACATTTTTCCTGTCTTTGTATAAGCAGGTCTCGGCAACTTCTGCCTGCTAAAAAATGATATAAATGTTCAGGCTAGACCTTTCTGCATGACTTGGTTAAAAAACCTATTGTTTCAAATTATAGCAAGAGAGAGAGGCAGCAATCAAACAATCCGTTCCATGTTTTAAGAATCACTGTTTTGTAAAATCTATTTGACACGTGATATCATTGTTAATTTTAAAGTATTCAATTCAGAATATTCAGTATTACTTTAGAAACTCATCCAACTAGTTAGCTCATGTTTAATGGATGCTAATTCACCTTAAAACATTAGTGAATTTTGATTTAACCTCCTTTTATATTTTGCTGAAAACTAATAGTTAGCTCAAAACTGAAAATTTCTCAGTAGATTAGATTAACTCACAATGTGCTTGAATAGATCAGTTCCATGCATGTCCCCCTGTTTCTGTACCGGAACACTGTTTAGTGTTTCGCAACAGAAACTCCTCAGAAACCCACGCAAATAATTTAGACCACATTGACTTTCAATGCTAACTGTAACAGTTGGATGAAATTAAAACGGGGTGTTTACAGATACTGGTAAATCTGCACACCTCAGTGAAAAAATTGAATAGTCGATTGAAAATATGTGCAGACATGACTCCAGATCACATTAAGGCCCGATTGACGCACACGCACATCCGCTGATCTGAAAACAGGTTTTGCTATTTGGTTTCAATGTAGAATATTTATTTATGCTGTGTAATAACTGTAAAAAATAAAGGTAACTGCTTCGCGGATTTCGCATATCACGGGTTATTTTCGGAACGCAACCCCTAAGAAAAACAAGGGTTCCCTGTAAATGTAGTGTTTACTTCATGTTTGAAGTTTTGTCAAAAAAGCGTAACAGGCTAAATTTCAAAATGTTGTAAAAACTTTTTTTTATTTATTTATTTTTTTTTATAAAAATCTGTGGGGGAAAAAACAGTCCACAAGGATCCTCATTCCAAACACATTCACTTAAATTTTCACTTTATGTTCACATTTTTTATTGACGGTATATCAAATCTATTTTAAATTTAACTGAAGATATGACATAATACAATACATAATATTCAATAAAATATTATGTATTGTACTTAAGTACAATTTTCGTGTATCTGTACTTTACTTAAGTAGATTTAATAATGGGTACTTACCGAACTGCGTAGCACATGCTAAAGTTATCAAAGTCAATAGCAGGCCAGCAACAGTTAGGCTAGTATAACTGACCCATTGCTCACTTGTTCAATGTTTTCTTTAAATTAAAACGTTTTCCTCACCTGTGAAATCTGAAGCCCTTATTACCATTATCTACCTAACTGCTAAACATTGCGTCCGTTGTTCTGATTCAGTGGTGGGAAGTAACGAAGTACAAGTACTTCGTTACTGTACTTAAGTACAGTTTTCGTGACCTTTACTTAAGTAGATTTAATAATGGATACTTTCTACTTTTACTCCACTACATTTTACAGTAAGTATCTGTACTTTCTACTTCACTACATTTCTACAAAAGTGTCGCGTTACTCGTTACATCCAAGTCGCGTTGCTCTTTTTTTCCGTTAAAATGTGAAGTTCAGGGACTTAAGGTGGCGCCGTAAAATCCAAGCAAAAACGTGACTTACGTGTCTGTTGTCACCCATCGCCTCCACCTTTACTCGCACGCGGAGCTCCAGACATGCGCAGTGGTTTCCTCTGAGCGGGAGAAGATGTCTGTCTAATCGTCAGTTATATAATAGCTGCATAAATCATAAGATATGGCAACATGTAAAATTAGCAGCGCTTCGCTTTCACATATGGTGGGGACTTCGTCCAACTTTTAGCGCCACTTCGAAGGAAAGCTTAAAGAAAAGTAAGATCTGTGGACGTGATGCTAGCAAAGCTAGC